AATCATGATCTTTCACTCTGTATATGACTAAATGAGTTTGGATGTTGGAAGTCAGAAAATATCGAAATGTATTCTTGCATAACTTCGTCTTCAACAAAATAATTATATAGAATGCCAAAAATATTTTATTAATGGGTTTTTTTTTCTCAGGTACTATTTTAAGTATTATAATTGTCATGAAATTAAATGTATGTTAAAAACTTGTATCTTAATGTTTATAAGATTTTAACAGGGATCATCTCGATTTATTTTTGCATTAAGAAATAATATATTGTAGAAGTTTACAAATACCTTCACATAATCCTGAATCAAAATTTTTTCTATATCCTTTTTCACATTCATCAGATTGACAATTGTTACACTCTATAAATAAATAAAACAAATATGACGTCAATACTTCTAAATCCATATTTAATACCATGACAAAATTTGCCTTTACGTTCGAAACCATTGGGGCATACCGAACTTTCGTTTGATTCTAATTTTGATTCAGTAAACCATTCAAGTTTTTTTTCATCTTCATTATAAATTGGTACTATATAATATTATAAATAAAAATATTATAATTAATTAAATCAATAAAAAAATTGTCTTACATGTATACAACTTTTTGAGATAGTGTAGGGGAGCTCTACTAGTGTTAAGATAATCTTTGTTTGGTGTACATTGAATTGTTTGAGTATAGTTATAGGATAACTTTTTTTTTCCAATTAGAAAACCACTTGAAAATGTACGAAAATGGCCTTAAAAAAAATGATATAACATTCGTAAAAATTTTTCAATTATTCTTATTCGAAATTAGTAAACAAACACATAATCAACTAATCAGTATTATGATCATATATGAAAATGTCTTATGTATCTTATTTTATTTCGATTTTCTTTCTATTGGATAGAATATCTATTGCATCAAGGCATTAGATGAAAACTATACAATAATTTATAGTACATTAATTTTATTTAATATTTTCATATTGTTTTTCGTCTTTTATTTAAACAAATCATCCTTTTTAATTATTGTCTCAATGATAATTCTTCTGTATTTACTGTTAGATTTTTATTGTCAATATTTAAGCAAAATTGAATTATTACTTGCATGTTTTTATCATGAGAAACAATATGATATTAAAATATAGTCAGTTTTAACAGAATGAATTATTGATACAAAAAGTCAAAGAAATGATCAATTTCATGATGAAAACACTAGAATATCCATTAATATAAGAAAATCAAAATTTTAATAATAAAACTAGAAAACAAATGTAATACATCAGTTTGAAAGTTGTCTATGATCACAATAACCTATTCTAATGTTTAATGAACTGAAAAAATTCAATAAACATCAAAAGAAGTTTTTTTGACATCAAAAGTAAATAGTTTTCAACGATGGGGTAGAAGATATAAAGAATTGAACATCATTAAAATTGTATGATCAATATACTTTGTTAAATATTTTCTTTAGAAAAAAAAACGCATGTCCGCTTTAGACATGAAAAATAAATAATGCTCGCTGTTAATGTATATCATTCAAAATCAAAAGTGACTTTTATGACTAACATGCGTCAATGAATAATCATTGCATGATTCTTTGTTCTTTTTTTGTCTGATTAAATCAGAAGGTCCTGTTGTAAGTTATCATCAAGATAATCAATAGAAATCAGAACCTTTGTAAACAAATATAGAACAATAAACAACAGAGTGTATTTGCTTTTCTACATCAATGAAATTGGATATATATATATATATGTATGCAATCGATAACAAAATTATTCAACAAGGTTCATTTTTGAGTTTTTATTCTGCTGTTGTAAACATTAGAAAGCGTCCAAATAATGATTCGAATAGAGAAAATGCTTTTCAACAAGAATACAAGAAAATAAAAATTATTATGAGATCCTCCAAGATAAGGAATCTAGAAAACCAAAACATGAGTTTTTCAACACTTAAAAGGTATAAATATGATATTGTTTAAAGTAAATAGAACGATACAGTAGATCATTCGTTACAAAATGACATGTTTTCGAATTGTCTACGACTCTTTTTGGCTACGACACGGTAATTTGATTGAAGGCCAAAAATTGGCTTTTCTATAGGGAATAGTAACAAACGACTTTAGGGACTCATAAAATTGCTATATCTCAGCTGCGAAATATCACAGAGAAGTGGAAGACGTCTTATTTTGTACATAATTAATTACTTTATCATTTTATGTAGTCTAAACAAAGCTATGTTTACACGTTCTGAATGCTAAAAAAACTAACCTTTTAGTTTTCTGGACTTCTTATCTTTAGAAATCTGACAATAATTTTTATTTCTTTACATGCTTACTGTAAGTCTGTATTTCTATGCGCATCACTATGTGAAATTTTTCTAGTACTGACGGCAGCGAAAAAAGCTTTCAAATAAACCTTTTTGAATAATTTTGATATCCATTGTTTATATGATTCATAATAGTAGCTACTCTTATGATTTCTATACATTTACAATCTGTGACAGAGATGGTAATACTTTAAAATTTCTTCAAAGTATTAGTACACATTAAAATTAAAAGTGAACACGCTATTTTTCATAACATCAACAATAAATGCAAAGAATACAGCTTGTCATCAATCATCATTAAGACTTTGTTAAATAAGACACGAATATATTCAAAAATTCTAGAATTCTTTTTTTTTTAAGGCCACCCCCACCCCCTCAAAAAAAAGTCAATTTCCGTCAAAAATTTCGAAATTGAGATAAATGCATGGAAAGATAGCCCGTCTTTAGATCTTTCAGAAACGACATTG